TTTTTTTTTTTTTTTTTTTTCCTTTTGTGTTTTGGGTAGATCGTTTCACTGCAGTGTTTCGATGAGGAATGAACAATAAAAAACAACAATTCATTATTTAAAAAAAATAAAATAAATAAAAATCAAGTAACAATTCCATTTAAGATTTTTTCAACAATAAAAAACAACAATTCTCAAATTAAAATGTAAAAAAGCCACACTCTTTTTTTTAATCACCAAACGTCACAGAGGTCAGGATGTTTGTGTGCTGCCACCTTTTGGCAGCGCGTGTTCAGCCCAGAGGCAGTCAGCACACGGAAAGTTCTAGGACAGCACTAAAAAAAGACACGAGAGCACGGAGACAAACTGACCCGGGTCGGTCCAGACCACACGGACCGGCCCGTTTATCCACAGTTACCGCTGTTTCCTACAGTACTACTACAGGCAGTACTGCAGTACTGCAGTAGTACTGTAGCATCGCTGTCGTGGTGTTGTCGCCCAGTTCATTCATTCCAACAACAGATCAACAATAAAACAGCAGTTTAATATCCCACAGCCGGTTAAACACGAGTCCACACAATGAACACAAACAGGGATGAGTGTTTAACTCCCTTACATACATTAAACACACATTAGGGTTTAATTAAGGACATTTAAATTGGCTCTGGAATGAGATCCACCGTCGCAGGAGAGCGTGTGGTTCCATTACATGAACACAGAGAGTCACATGACCACTGACAACCGCACGGCAGCACGTTCTCGATCAGAAGACAATCCACAGCCACAGCTATATATATATATATATATAGTACACATACACAGTAATACTGTAATACTGTATATCTGTACAGTGTATTTCACATTTTTCACCGTTTTAATCACAGCTCTGTCAAAGTGTACGGGTGAAAAAACAGATTTTTTTTTGCTGTTCTGCTTCAACAAATAACTGCATTTTACAAACTGTGAGTTCAACCATTTCTCCTGCTTTGCTTCTATGTCTCTCTCTCTCTCTCTCTCTCTGTGGTGAAGCAGGAGAAGCTCATTAAGTTCTCCTGAATATTCATGAGCTTTATAAAAACAGTATAATTTCTGGATGATTCCAGGACAAAAAACTAAAATGTCCTTCATGTCTGTAAGGTGTGGGGTTTTCCACAGATGACTAGTGGCAGGTGTGTGAAGCGTTCGGAGCTGCTGTCTGGGTTTTTTTTTTTTTTTTGCATTAGTGAAGCGTTCGGAGCTGGATGTGGGGTTTGTTCTACTCTGGGTTTTCATAAACGACTCCCAGGTTCCATTAATGAGTTCATCTGTCTCTCCCACTCTTTGTCTTTGTTTTTGGGCTGAAATACACAGACGAAATACACACACTCAGCCCAGAGAGGGCGCCCTGGTCACTGCACTTCAACTACAATAATCAGATTTTTTTAGTTTTTGTTTTTTTAACTCAAACAACAACTTAGGTCTAAAATCAGTTGTTCAATAGGTGGTCTGTGACCCCCAAAGCGGCATCATTTCAAGCGACCCCATTTGGATTCTATGCGACCTTACATGGGGTCCCGACCCCTAGGTTGAAGTACACCACATTAACCCCAAAGATCTGGTATAAAAAGATTTTGTGTTCAACTTCTGGCGTCGACTCAAACCCGTTCGTTCCGTTTCTTTCTCCAAAGCGATCCTTCACAAAGGGAACGGCGAGAACGTCTTCCTCTCCCAGCAGCCCCCTGTGATCAGCACCGTGATGGGGAACGGCTTCTACCGGAGCGTCCCCTGCGGTCCGAGCTGCAACGGCCCAGCCCGGGACATGATGCTGTTTGCGCCCATCGCCCTGGCGAACGGCCCCGACGGCTCCCTCTACGTGGGGGACTTCAACTTCATTCGCAGGGTCCATCCCGACGGATACACCCGGACCATCCTGGAGCTGAAGTGAGTGACCCCTGACCTTAGGGCACAAATGTCGACTGAGTTTTACTTTAGGTTTTCTGCTAAATTAATACTTACATTTTTGGGATTCATGATTTGATCAGACATGTTGTGTTAGCGTCCATTAGCTTTTTTGTTTAGCTAAGCTAACGGCTCTGCAGCGTCTCAGGAGTCTGAAGTCATTGGTCGATTCATGTGATTTATCGGCTGCCATGATATTATTGGACAGATTAAAATAAAAACTTCATCAGCCAATAATCTATTCAATACGTAGATGTTGTCATCGCTAACACGTCGTCTGGTTTAAATTAGTTATTGA